AATTTCACGCACACTCTTTGTTCCTTCTGGTCGGCCATCTCACTAATCGCCAAAGGGTTGAAACAGGAACGCACACAACAGAGCACCACAGACAAACCACTTAACTCAGACTGACGCCAGCTCACTAACAGTCGCGGGAGACCCCCAGCTAACACCACCTAGCAGCACAACTCGTAACTACAAAGCATGCGCGCACAACAGGTCGTTTCCGGTTATTTTTGGGTCCCCCCTCATTTGCAGACAAATTCCATAAAATGTTTGTGTTCTATGCACAAAGTGCCTAAAATGAGTGTATAATGGGGAGGTTACTGTTTATGCACCCTTATGTCGTAGGGCTTACAACCTTATCGCCATCTTTGAGCTGATTGTCTAGACAATGTGGGACCCTCATCATCTTACAACCCTATGGGCCTTCATGGCCTGGTACGGGGATAGCTTTACTTTTTTTTTTACTTTTATAATGTTTGTCACTGGAATTGGTGGAGTCAAGTTATGCTTGTTGTGATGTCCAGTCAGCACAAAGGATGTCTACTCATAATCAGAAGCATCTCTGTCAGTTCAGAAGCTGCGTGATAGAAGCGTCAGCAACTGAACTGCTTTGATGGAAGTTCACACCTGTTCCTTGTTTAGTGCTGTAAACTTGTCTCCTGATGGAGAAGATAGGTGTTGATTTCTGTACCCAAGCTTGTTAATTAATATACAATATTCATTCTTACAACAGTGTACTTAATATAACCCCCCTAATTAGTAGTACCAACACTGTGGACTCTGAGAATGCTGAATTTATACCCTTAATATTATTTGAATGCCTGAATGAATGATCAAGAAATGTCATATGTAAGTCATGCCACCTGAAGCCATCTCAATGACATGCTTCATAAATTCCTTCCATCAGTAATACCAACACTATAACCTCTAAAATTGCTGAGGTAATAACCTTAAAATTACTTGAATATATTTTGATTCTTTGTAAGTACATTTAACATAACAGTTCACTTTCACCGAAAACCAACATTTTGCAGTACTACATTTGTCTGTTATCTGTTTACTTGCTTCCTCCTCTTTCTACAAGCCACAGTGTATATGATTAGTGCCTGCCTGAGGCGTCAGTTTGAATGGAGAGCACTGTACCCTTTCTTCAGATATGACATGTTTATGAAGTATGTCTTATTAGATGTACATCATTGATTTTTAGGTTATTTAACAATACATTTCCTGTTTAGTGTTGAATGAGTTGGAATGATGGCAGAGATTTGGAAGGAAATGATCATGGCCTGTTTTTTGATGTTACTTATCTGGCAGTACTGAGGAAAGCATAGTAACAGCATAGTTGGTGTGACTTTAATGCTGAAATATATTATTTCACTCTTTTATTTTGACTAATAACGTTCTTTTCTTTGCAGCGGAGTTCCCACACACTGATCCATGCACAAATGTGGGCTTGGTGGTGAGTCCAACAATAGATAGTTCATGTGGAGAAGGAACAAGTATTAAGTTGATTGTACATTCCAAGAATGAAGAGAGTCCAGTTATGTTTACCTGTGATGGTAAGGCTGTAATTAAGGAAGAAATCCATGCAGTTAGTTGCATAGTTTAGACCGAACCGCTACAACGTAGCAACAGCACCAACGCAGGGAGCAGCCTGTACATATACTATCATAAGAATAACCTAATATACATCACATACTGAAAAATGAGCATAAGCTCCAGAAGACGTTACTAAGGTCATGACTACACGACTTATCCCATGTGAGAAGATTCTAATACGCGGGCTCTCCACGCTACAGTCACTTATACCTTCATAAATCAGGTCAACACATAGCAGTTGCAGAGTTTTATCATGGAACATTTCCATTCACTTTTTGTACAATTTTAACTTTCCTGTTTTAATCTTTATGTCTCTAATTTTAAATTTTATTATCTAAGCATTTTAATTTTAAATTTTGACCAGAAGACTCAGTTTATGAATTTATGCATTTAAATAATTTCAAGACACAATAAGGATCCTTATTTGAAGAATTAGATGAAAATTAATTGCAATTCAGCAGCCGAAGCTGGAGCATTGTACACCTGATGATGACCTGGTATAAGGGTCGAAACATGTTACGTATGTAAAAACAAAATTAAAAAAAAATTGATACAGTAGTGTCTTCTTTGTTTTTTAAATACAGAATATTGTCAAAGTCAAAGTCACATTGAGACTGATGGTCAGTCAGTCAGTAATCTGGGGCTCATGACCAGATATTTATTATTCTTCGACAGTTACGGTTTTGCGTCTGTGGGGCACCCTCTCTGACGAGGGGACGGGTCTGTCTTTTGTGTATGCTGCTGGCCCTTGCCAGCGCAGTCTTTCTTGAGTCTGTGTCCCTTGGGACTCGTGACCGTATTTAACTGTCTCAGATTTGAGACTTCCCTTTTTGTCACAATCTACGACTCGCAGGGTCACGGTGGAGGTATTCGAACCCGCCTCCACAAGGGTTACAGAATACTGTGTAAACGGCATACCTTATATACGTTTGTATACCTTGTTTATAACACAACAAGATGCACACTATTAAGATAATTGAAGCTGAAGGTTTTATATGCTGATTTTGTATTTTTATTGCTGCAGTGAGTTCAACTGTGGAACATGTAATCCTACATGTAGTATGTGAGCTGGAAGGGGATTTCCGTGGAAACGTCAATGAATATGTACTGAAAGTATGGGGTCTTGCCGAGTACTTCACCTCTCACACATTTCTGTCTGATTATGAGTACATTCATCAGTGTATAAAACTGGAACAAGATGTGGAACTTTCTATATTACAAGTTGATCAACTTACAAGGCCATTGGCTAGAACTGTGAGTGTTAATGTTTTTTCCCCACTCTCATGCGGAGGTTTTTATATACATCCCTTCAACTTAGCTTGGTCTGTTCGTTATCACTTTTTGAGAAAACCCTTTATATTCTGAAGAATATGGTCTGCCATCTGGTGACATGTTTGCTGATGTTTAGTGGGAACATGCTGCTTCATTCTTTAGGGTTGAAGAGTTAGACAAGTGTGAATAAAGTGGTAAGGCTCTACCTATAATGAGTGCAAACATCTGTATCTTAGAAGATGGCGTTAGTATGTTTCTACAAAATGTTGACACACATTTACCAGACCGAATGTCATCAATCTCAGAAATCGGTATTTATCATAGCCACTGTTACAAGAACCTAAAAATCTTTTTTACATATTTTCCTTGTTATTATTTATTAAATGTTCAATTTTTCAGGCTCAAGATGACAAAAGAGATGGGGCATTATCACTGGAGGATTTGCTTCCTAACGAACCAGTTCATCCCATATCCTATGATTCACTTATTATACTGTTGGGTATGTATAATTTGCAGGATTCATGGTTGTGACATGAGATATGTTTGATGGTATTTTTTTAAGGTGCATAAAACATGTACGTCTTTTTATTTTAATTATTTTTGAGAATATGAGTTGGTATCTATGAACCTTGGCACCATTATTTTTTTTACTAGCATAAAGCCCATTAAAATTTCAACAGGGAATTGTTAGAAACAAATCAAATCAAAAGTTGCTGATCTCTTTAAGTTAAGAAGTTTTGGAAAAATGGCTACATTTATACTTATATGCTAAACTTGGCAGAATAATAATTTGCTGCTCCTCTGTAGATGAAATATTTTCAGCAAAGGTGTTTTACCAAAAATATATCATAAACTTCATTAGAAATTCCTAACCCATTTTTATTTCCAGCTAGCAGCAGAGCATTTCAATAGTTATTATCTACTTCAGCCTTTCCGTAATACATCTTGACAGACTATAACATTTGATGGTTGAGTGATTTTGGCAGACACTTCATAAATTTCACTAATACCTGTTATTTTTGCATGATCACCATTCATGACAATTTCCCCATATATATTTAATAATCTTCCCTCATGTTGTTATGTAGCTGTACATTATTCAAAATCATGTTAACTGTAACAAAAGGTAAGGCTTTTCATAGACATTGTACTCACACTATACAAGCTTTACCTTTAAATACATCATGCTGACTGTTACCTTCCAGTACTTGACCAGTAATTCTTTGTGTTATCCACCATCGTCAGAACCCTATAGAATCTACAGTGAATTGAGCTAAACATTTTTCATCTCTGGCCTCAGTTTCCTCAGATAACCCTTCCATTAATTCACTCCTTGTGTACACAGTACAAAATTGTGGATGAGTTTTGTTTACATAAAATTCTGTGGAGATATGAAGCTTGGTTTATGTGTGAGGGTGTGTTCAGTGTCTGCAGCAGTCACCTCTGGGCTCTGTAAAATCCTCATGCTATCTATGAATGTGGGTATGAAGTCTTCAACATCAGCATTTTCACTGGAATTGTTGGGGACACTGTTGTGGGCCCCTGTCCACTACCTGAGAGGCTGTATGCTTATTGATATTGTGATTTTCTGGAAACTTTATTGTCAGGGCTGCTTGATGGTGTGTCTCTAGCTGTGAGGCAGAGGTTGTGGTTTCAGCATGACAGAGCTCCAGCACACTGGGGAAGAAGTCTGGTTGTGGTTGATCAAGATGTATCCAGGAACATGAATTGGATGTCTAGGGCATTGCCTCCTTGGTTGCTGAAGGAGTATGTTTCTCTAGTCACTCCCTCTACTGTCATAGGTCTGATGGCAAGACTTCAAGCAGCTGTGACAGCAGTCAGTGCCACCATTTTAAGACGTGTTTGAGAAAATGCCTTATGTTTCCTTGTTGTCTGCCTCAAAATGGACGGGGGCTGCTTCAAACAGCTACTGTTGCTATGATTTGGTCATGGTTTGGTCATTTGAGAGCTTATACCAGTTGATGCTGGTGTGTATCTTGGAGAAATGACTGCTG